GTTCTGTTTTGGGCCCACTCTTATTTATCATCTATTTATTTCCTCTTGGCCATATTTTCAGGAAATATGGTATCCATTTTCACTGCTATGCCGACAACACCCAGCTCTACCTGTCTTCCAAACCCTCTAGTTCTTTTCCTCCACCTTCCTTGACCAGATGTTTAGCTGACATTAAAGACTGGCTTTCAGTCAACTTTCTAAAACTTAACAGTGATTAAACTGAGGTCTTAGTTATTGGTACAAAATCTACTTTGATTAAATCTGATTGTTTTACTGTGGATATCAATAATAATGCAATTTATCCTTCTCAGCAGGTTAGGAGTTTGGGTGTCATTCTGGATAGCACACTTTCTTTTGAAGCTCATGTCAATAATATTTTGCGTACTGCATATTTTTACCTGCGTAATATTAATCGCCTCCATCCCTCTCTCACAATGAATAATACTGCAGTTCTTATTCATGCACTGGTTACCTCACGCAATGACTATTGTAATGGTCTCCTTACTGGTCTTCCTTCTAAATTTCTCTATAAACTCCAATTGGTTCAGAACTCAGCACATGTTCTTATAGGACTTCCTCAATCGAGCACATTTCTCCAGTTCTCCAACGTTTACACTGGCTCCCAGTAAAGTATCGCATTGATTTTAAAATTTTGCTTCTCACATTTAGGGCGCTTCACAACCTTGCTCTACCGTATCTTACTGACCTTCTCCACATACTCCTTCTTGTACTCAGATCTTCACACTCGATCTCTCTTGTGTCGCCGCGTATACGTTTAAGCACCATGGGAGCAAGAACTTTTAGTTTTGCGTCCCCTCCTCGCTTATGGAACTCTCTTCCCCCCAATATATACGGAACAGTGACAGCCTTCATACTTTTAAATCTTGTCTTAAGACTTATCTTTTTACCCAGGTTTTCTTATGACTTGCTCTTATTAAGCTTTTATTGTATTTATGATGTATGCAGTTGTGCTGTTGAATTTAATGCTGGCAGGACTTGTTTATTTATTGTTACTGTTTTTACCAATTTGCTTGCTGTAAGGGGACCTTGGGTGTTTAGAAAGGTGGCATTACATAAAATGAATTATTATTATTATTATTACTACTACTACTACATTTTAATAATGCACTCTTACAAATAAAGGTTTCATAAGGGGATTTTCGCAGCAATGTAATAGAAAACCCATTTGATCCACATGCACCACCATTAAACACTCTTTTGGGTTGCATAGAGTTGCCTTTGCTACTGTGGTCCAACAGACAAGACACTTAAAAAAACCACATCAGACTGATGCTGTCATAATGCAGGAATATACACCATGTGACAGATTTTTTTAGTGGTGAATGTCATTGTTGACATGTTAGTGGAATTTCTCTTTAATCATCAATGAAATCCATTGAGCATCAAAGGCAGATTTCTTAATATAATGATTTCAACATTATTTCTGATTGACTGCTGAGAGTTGAGATGACTTTAGAGTTAAATTAGTAGCTGTTGTGAATACATAAAATAAACATATTACAAATGTCACTTACATTTTTATTAAATTTGTGGAAAAATACATTCTTAACAGTTTCAACTGCCATTTAACAAAGCAAAAAAATTCAAAAATCCAAAATACAATTCACACAAAAATTTGCAAAAAGTTATAAAAAGTCATAAATATCAGAACCCAAACAGATTTTTGACCAAAGTGCTGTAATAATAACATTAGACAGATACAAACTTACCTTAAAGCATAAAACAAAAGAAAACTAAGGAAAACAAAGAAAAATTAATAAAGACTTCAGTCTTAAGGCAGGTTTTTAACATGATCATTATGGAGCATTACACTTAAGGTTTAAGTGTGATTGAGGAGTAGCAATGACCAACTGGCTGACATCTAAAAGACCTTTGACTGTAATGGAAACTGACAAGATGCAAGAATAGCTAAGCTATGCCATGTGAGTGCTGCAGGGAAGATGTGGTTTTGTATGCCAAAGGCTGGAAACAAGTTGCATTTTAGCACTTCCAGCTCCAATTCTAAAGCTGACGTTCACATTTTATTCTGTGACATAAAATACATCAGTAATACTCCTTGTGTGTTTTTTATGCTTTAAAGTGTCTTGAAAAAAAGGTTGCTAACAAGTGACTAAATGAGACTACAGTGGTTGTCACCAAAACATCTACACCAAACAGGTACACCCATCTCACTAGTCCACTTTAACAGCCACATTGTTTTTATATTCACTCTCTTGCAAACTATTCAAACTTAAATCATCAGGGAAAATGTCTTTAAAATAAACACTAAAGGAGTTGTCAGGAGCTTCATGATGGTGGTGTTGAAGGCATGTGACCACAGTTTAGTTCATTTATAGCCTACGTTTAGCTTTTTACTGCTGCTCATTGCATTTAGGCTTCAGAAGGCTTCATTTGTGAAGATTATCATGATGAACAAAACATGTAAGAATCTTAAACTTTAGTTGGTCACAAAACGTATTTTCTGCAATAATCCAAAAGTCAATGGAAAAATCCCATTGGGTTTTTGTCAAGGGAACCAGGGCGATGTGAACTTCTGGGGTGGCCTACAAAAATACATCACCATTGCCCAGATTTTATGCACATTGCTGAGGCTCAATGTTGTTGTTTTTTGTTCCCTATAACAGTACAGTTGGGCTAAAAGTGACAATCTGTAATTTAAAATTGTAAAGGGATTTAGACACTCATTTCCAATAAAAAAGAATTCTCATCAAGTTTGAATAATCAAAGTTACAGTCGAGTATTGTCAGAACAGTACCATGTACTTGACTCAATTTTCCATTTCCAGTGTAACAAATGAACTGGAGGCAAATGCCCACTGCAGTTTTTACAGTCTGGCCCTTTTGGGAATGTCTTGTCCTTCAGATTCCCGGAGAGCTGTTCCACTAAGTGAAGGCATGTGCTTCTAATATATGCACAGGTGGGGAAAGAGGCGGGGAGCCCATGAGCAACCAACCAAAGAACCATAATAATAACATATGAAGCAATAGTCATGTATTCACCCTTCCACACTAAACTCCACCATCTTCTCCATAACTCTCAAACCATGGATGGACAGAGCTAGGGGCACTGGTGATGGAGGACACTGGTTCTGTTTCCTCTTCTGAAAGTTTTATTTCTGGTAAGACATGTATATAGAATTTACTTTGGCTATATGTTTTCATTGTGTTTCTTAAGCTTTTGAATAACAAGAACAAACACTGCAATTAACTGATCTGTAAAGCATTTTATGTTAGCCTTATACATTGAAATAATGTTTTGGAAATCCATTAGATATATACCAGAGTCATCAGTCACATGGCCACACAGGAATCTCCAGACTCCTACTAGTGGCCTCCACAGACATTCAAGAATGGTACCTGCAGTACACTTTATGTTAATATACCTTTCAATCAAGTGCCTTGCAATCAAAATCTTGCCGCTCCACTTATTTATTTTCCCCTGAAATAATGTTTTGGAAATCCATTAGATACATACCAGAGTCATCAGTCACATGGCCACACAGGAATCTCCAGACTCCTACTAGAGGCCTCCACAGACATTCAATATGGTACCTGCAGTACACTTTATGTTAATATACCTTTCAATCAAGTGCCTTGCAATCAAAATCTTGCCGCTCCACTTATTTATTTTCCCATTTAAATTACAAGAAAGTACAAAACACACGGCCAAGCCAGACGCGATAATATAGTGTGCGCGTATTACTATGATTACGGTAATTCCAGCGAACGTATAGAGACTGTGCTTTCGGGGTACTAGTTGTTCAGCAAATAGTGAGATAGATAAGACATCATGTTTTAAGATTTTGCGTCCAGTGTGCCGTACCTGAGACAGTTGATCATTTTATGAATTCATAGCCTTTTTTTGTAAGCAATCAGATTTAACAATAAATAGGCTATATCCTAAGTCAATATAAGCAGTGATTATTTCTAAAACAGCGGTGCTACTGAGAAGTGTCATGTAGCTTTTCAGTCTTAAACTATTTTATTGATAAGTAGCGGGACAACGCTGAAGTTTCTGTGCACGTAAATATCTCTCTGTGTGTGTGAGAGAGAGAGAGAGAGAGAGAGAGAGAGAGAGAGAGAGAGTGGGAGAGAGAGAGAGAGAGAGAGAGAGAGAGAGAGAGAGAGAGAGAGAGAGCGAGAGAGAGAGAGAGAGAGAGAGAGAGAGAGAGAGGTGAAGCGCAGGATATTGATTGCAGTGTTTTTCTATCAGGTTAATGATAGTGATAATATATATATCCCATAACTAAGCCGACCCCTAGACCCAAACCTAACCCTCAAAGAAACCTATTAAAAATCACTGCATTTAAATAGAAACATAATTTGTTTAAACTACCAAGGACAAATGTCCTCACTTGTCGGTTGTCGTGATATTTCGCTATACAAGCGAAGACATTCGTCCCTCGTACAATCCTCTAGCTAAAATAAGTAAACACTTGAAAGGAAGATCGAATCAAAACCATCTATTTATTTCAGTAGCAATATCATTTGGCGTTGGCATTGGCATTCATGAGTGTGAAGTTAACAGTTCTCAACTCCAAAATAGTTATAGGGCTTGTACCATGATGGTGGCTGAACAAACTCAGGGTTACAGAATTATTTTTGAGTTGACAAAACCAAACCAATCCAATCCTGCTTTGATGGTACCGTGATGCTGATCAACAACTTTCTCTGTCAACTCAGGCTTTGATCCTGAGTTTATGGAGCGTGTGCACTTGAAAGCGTGACATCAGTAGTGAACAGCCAATCATATGCCTTTTAACTGTTATTCACTTCTCTCGATTCACTGCTAAGGATTAAAAGATTGAAAAATTAGAAGAATTTAAACATTTCCACAGCAAGGTGAAAAGAGCTGTCCGTGAAAGAGGACAACTAAAAGAAAACATCTTGCCATGTCAAGTGAAACTTGTTAAGTCAGCTTATATTGTTGATAATATATAGGTATAGAGACAAAAATCTAAGCTCATATGTAGTCTTGTTTAAAGCTTTATATATTGATTCTAAAGCTTATTTATATTCTATATTATCAGAGATGTGTCACTTTGCTTTAAGCTGATTGGTCAAATTTCGGTTTGCGATCTCTAAAATAGAACATAACCTGCCCCGAAGCAGGTTAGCTGTGGAGTGTAAGTTACTATGGTGATGAACACTGCAAAAAGCCAAGCAACTTTCATGGTACCTAAAACCCAGGATTGGTGTAAAAAAGACTGAAACTTACCTGGTCAGCCAGCTAATACGACTTCATGGTACAGGCCCCAGGAGCACTAAATCTGCCCATGTTCTTGGCTCATTTTGAGTCAGATAGGACTAATTTGGTGTGCTGTTAACTGGAGACTCAATTTGACCGGTTCGTTGGAATCAGTGAGTCGAGAACAGCTGCAATTGGATCTCTCCACTTCATAAATGAATCGTTCCGTGTGATTTGTGAACCAACAGGTTCATCAAAAGAATAGACTTAGCAGAATGATTCTATCAGACATCACTGTTATGTCTTCAAATGCACGAGTGAGGAACAATATTTCTGAAATGTAGTGGTGCAAAAAGTAAGATACTTTGGTTTGATGAAGTAAGAAAATACTCCAATAAAGTATTTATTTATATTCAGCCTGTGCATAATTTGGAAGCTTGATCCTTTGGCTTCTTTTGGAACTATTTTCTTTGAAAGAAGAAATATTTTTACTTACTGGTCTTAAAAATACTGTTATTGCACTTTGGTATAAAAGGAATATCACACTCGCAATTGTGTGCTATATATCAGCCCTGATATTCTTGCTTATGATGAAGAAGGAATGAATGAGTGATTGAATTCATTTGACATTAAAAATCTCAACACTGTGGGTCAAATTAAATCTTAGCGACAACACGTGGCAGGGCTCCCTATTACCATTAAATAGATAAGATTATGCTAATGCTGCTTTGCATGGACCAAACCAAATGTAGGTCCAGAGAACTCCTTCTTTAAAAATGGGGTGAGAGTGCCAGTAACTCTGCCCCACCTTGACATCAGCTCCTCTCGGGAATTTGCAACAGATGTGGCTGGGGCAACAATGATTTCAAGGGGGCCAATCCTCCATCTTATAAATGCTAAACTTAAAGCCGTTTCTTAATCTTGATCCAAGTGTTCTGGATAGAGAAAGAATGGAAAGGCCATTAGCATTGTACAATTTAACACTTCAACACCATGTCATTAATCATTTAAAATTAAGAAATTCAGTTGCAAATAATTTCATTCTGATCAAAGCCTGTCCAGTTAATGAATGGAAGACTGTCACATGTGTCTCACCTGTCTAAACTGTCCTGATAATACCTCCACCTTTACCATAATTCCATGGTCTTACAGTGCTTACGCCAAGAGATGGCGCTGTTTCTTCAACTGAGAGCTGAACGTCTGTTAACACATTACATAATCACATTAGCTTTGGTCAGAATGTTTTCAAACTTTTATTATTTTTAATTTCTTAAAGAACACTATTGGTACACACCAGAGTTATCATGTCCACAGCAGCACAGTAATCTCCCGGCTATTCTTAGAAGCCACCATAAAAATCCAATTATTATAGCTGTGGTGAGAAATACTTAAATTAGGATAATTCTTAGAAAGCGAAACATTTGTGTAATCAAATATAAATCTGATCTTGATTTGCCATTTTAAATGGTAATACTCGCTTCAATTATTAGTTGTCAAAACGTCATTTATTGTCATATAGAGTGCTTAGAAGTTTCTTGGCCAGTGTCTGATGATGCTTTAATGCCATTGTTTATCCATTTAAACATTTTGTATTGCATAAATTCGCTTGAAATGGCGATTATTATAAGTTACGATTGAATAATGTCGTCCATCTTGTTAAAAACAGTACAGGAAGAAGCAAATATACAGTCCGCGTGAGCAAGACATAGTTTGACAATGCATATACGGCTAAAACAGAACAATTCTGACCTGTGTTGCTGATTTCCATATTGAATTCCATTCGTATTTGTTGTTTAAAGCTCGGTGTTTCGTTTTGTCTATGAACGCAACACGAAAGCATTTGGATTTCCCGCGGATAGCGAACCCCGCCCCCTCTGACGTTTCCGTGACGTCAGGAGTCTCTACCAGATCGCCTCAAATAATGAAATCGTGAACAAAATGAATTTGAGAGTAGTTTGAGCGTATTTATACTGAAAACGAACATTTGTGCTGAATGAATTTCCGAGATATTAAACAATATATCATTGTACTTTATAGGCTACCTATTATTTACCCAACGTCGATTTAGCAAACGTGACGTTATTAAAAACATTATAAGAGGTGCACATAACAAATAAAATATTTGTATTTAGTCTAAACTAGATCATAATAACCAATAAAATACTATAAATAACCCGAACTGCCGTGTGTTCGTAATGGCTGCAAGTACATTCTTTTTTGTTATAAAGACAAAAATGGAGGGAAACACTATAGTTTCATAAACGTTACTTACATTTTAAAGTGTTCCCCTCTCACTCCACTGCAAACCATCGCCTTAAAAGAGGTCCAATACAGTGCTAAAAAGGTTAAAAACGTACGTTGCCATGTTTTTACAAACATTTTCATAATCCGACTCGAGTATTTTTTCTTCTGCAGAGCGCTGTTGCTGTTACATTAGTTGCGAGATATTACCGCGAAAATGACGTCCTCTTGTACTTTCTCTTTGAATCCACCAGCTCACGTTGCACACACTGGTCAAACGGAAGTCCGCCTCTTTCCCGCGAACTGATCCAGTCGAACATTTCTTTCATCTGGTTCTACATTTTCCCATTCATTTTTATGACCTTTTTCAACCATATCAGATGCACAATAGAGCTTACAATAGTAGTTGCTGACAATAACATATTTTTGCAAACTGAGAATATTTTATCTATCTATCTACCTATCTATCTATCTATCTATCTAGAAAGCTAAAGCGTGTGTAAGCTGCTGGTTGGGCATCATATTTCGCTGCTGAAGGGTTACACAAGCGTTCTGTAAGTCTTACATATTCAGCAGCCTGTTTCTTTAAATCGCAGAAACCTCAGCTGCGCTACCATTGGACAAAGAGTGCACCGCCCGCTTACGTAAACACGTTTGATTGGCTGATATGTCGACGCCCCTGGTAAATGAAATATATCCGCCACAACGTCACTTTCCAGTCCCAATACCGTACTGACTGTGACAGATAGTGCGGGAGAAGTGACAGATAGTGCGGGACAAATGTCCCTTACCACAGCGGCTCGTCTCCTCAGTGCTCCCCTCAGGAGTGTTTCACAGCCCCGCGCTGCTAATGCGAGCAGAGCGTACGCGGCTGCGGCTCAAGCGGTGCTGTCGGTGCTGGAGAGCGAGCTGGACGCGATCCGGACAGCGGGCACATGGAAGGGGGAGCGGGTGATCACCTCCCAGCAGGGTCCGCGGATCTCCGTGGACGGCAGCAGAGGCGGTGAGCTGCACAGCAGAGCCAAAGAGTCAATTATAACACAACATAATCTATGGCTAATACAACAGAATGGTGGTATGATTAGGCTGTGCATTCCTGGAGGCACCTATCCTAGGGAAACAAAGTCAATAGCATGCTGCTGTTTTAGTTTTCAACTTTGCTGCATAAAAAACTATAATTATGACAACACCTGTTTCCCCCATAAAATTCTACTTTATTTTGTAGCTGCATGGGAAAGTATAAAACAAAGACGTATAGAGAGCAAACACGCAATATAAACTGGTTAACAGGGAGGGAGGCTAAAACGGTGAATTATCAGTAATAAAATGTGAATAAAAAATCGTTTTCAGAATTTTAAAGCTGGTCACATTTATGAAATTGTACCCATTATATTTATATACAGTTGTTTTATAAAATATATTTATATAAAATTATGTGAAGTGAAGTAAATGGTTGGCTGAATTTATGCTTTATATTATTTTAAAACTTTTCTAAAGGTTTATGTTTAGATACTTGAAATAAGTAGAATTTATGATTCTCAATATTTTAAAAAACTCTTCTAAAGGTTTATGTTTTGATGCCTGAAATTAGTAGTGCAGAGTAGACAAAAAAATTATGTTTACTAATGTTATATACACTAACAGTAGTATTAATATAATAATGTATTGTATATTTATTGTATGCATACAATTTTTTTGAAATATTATATTTCAGTTTTTATATTTAATTATTATTATGTATTTTATTATATATATTTTTAATACAATTGAAGTTAAAAGTTTGGACGCATATGACTGAATTTACGTTTATTATCATCTTACAAATCTTCTAAAAGTTATATGAGTAGTTCTCTATTTACTAATGTTTTATATTATTTATTAAAGTACTTTTTGTAAATGTGTAATGCCCAAATGTGTAATGCACAACTAGCAGAGCTGAATAGCTCAAATAAAAGATTTTATTTTTTGTTTCTCTTCATCTTCTGATCCCATATTTCTCTCTTTTTGTTTCAGACATATTGAATTTCTGTGCAAATAACTACCTGGGTTTATCCAATCATCCGGAGGTGGTGAAGGCAGGAATAGATGCCCTGAAGAAGTATGGCGCTGGCCTTAGTTCAGTTCGCTTCATCTGTGGCACACAGGTGAGAAAAAATACTGTATTTGAACACACTGATAGCAGTGCTTATTGATGCCTTAAGATATATCTGTTAACTGTCTGTTCTCTAGAGCATCCACAAGAACTTGGAAGAGAAACTAGCCCGGTTTCATGAAAGAGAAGACTGCATTCTATATGCAAGCTGCTTCGATGCCAACGCTGGTCTGTTTGAGGTCTGTTTTAACTTTTAACCAATCCTTATGTTATACTGAAGTAAATAGCACCACTGCAAATACACTGTAACAATACATTGGCGCTCGTTGCTTTAGGTCCTGTTGGGTCCTGATGATGCAGTATTGTCTGATGAACTAAACCACGCCTCTATTATCGATGGCATTCGATTGTGCCGTGCCAAGAGGTTCCGCTACAAGCACATGGATCTGAATGACCTGGAAGAAAAGCTGAAAGAATCACGGGTAGGTTACTGGATTTCATGCAAATCAGAGGTTGCACTGCAAGCTTCAAGTGGTTTATGCACATGGTGATATTTAAATAATGTTTGTACTAAACTGACTGTGTTTTGGCTTGATATGTGGTAAGGATTTGTTTGATGAAAAACAGAAAATGTAATGCAACAATTTAAGTCAACAATTAGAAATGTCTAAACTTAATTCAAAACAATTTTTGAAAATGATTTAGTTTCTCGGTTCATGCACTGTATTTATTTATTTACAGTCCTCTCGTATGAGGTTGGTGGTCACAGACGGCGTGTTCTCCATGGATGGTGATGTGGCTCCTCTGCAGGGTATCTGTGATCTGGCTGAGCAGTACGGTGCCTTGGTCTTCATTGATGAATGTCATGCCACGGGATTCTTGGGTCCCCGTGGTCGGTGAGTGTACAGAAAAAAAAAATGGTAGCAAAACAGTCGGGTTCCGGAAATAAAAATGCAATTCATGTTCTCCATCAGGGATTTGATTTTTAATAACATAAAAACTGTTAAAGGCAGACCCACTGTGAGCTACAAGGTTGTCTTATTTAAATAATCATGTTTAACAGTAAAATTTATGGTGAAAAACTACATTAACCATGATTCTGCTGAAAAATCCCCACCAATAAGAAAATCAAAACAAGCAAATTGCTACAAAAGAGCTCTGTAGTGACAATGAAGCACTACAAAGTGAATCAAATGGTTTAAATAATTGTGTGAATATATATATATATATATATATATATGCATCTTCTTTCAGCTTTTCTTCCAGGTCATTCAGGCCCATTTGTGTATATGTATGTATTTTAATATTTTGTAATAAACATAAAATGCATTGCTTCTATACAGTATGTATAAGTAACTGCTTTAAATCAATAGTTTTATATTTATCCATCGTTTTTATAGATTATCATTAGCAACGCTTTATGAAAGTAGTTCTATCCCTCACTAAGGCTAAGTACACAGTCTTGTACTTTTGCCTTTTTTTCAGATTTTTCAAAAACTTTTTTTTTTTTTGGTTCAAATCAAAGTTCTTTAATGAATACGCTTTCTAAAAAGCCCTATGGGGAAATGTTTTTTTCCAGAATGAAAGCAGCAGAAAAATTAGCAGGCATCGGTGCACTCTATGCCAAAATATTATATCATATCATATTATATTATAATACTATAATCATATAATATTATAAGTGGATGTTTGTGCATTTATTTCCCACAGAGGAACAGATGAGTTGCTGGGAGTGATGGACAGGGTTCACATTGTGAATTCCACTCTGGGAAAAGCACTTGGAGGAGCTGCTGGTGCGTATAAATATTAAACATCATCTTTACATAGTCAAGCTACTATGTCATGCAAAATAACACATTAAATCGCAACGTTTCTTTGCTAAGAAGGCTGAAGCTATTTCAGTCCTTTCAAACATGTATATTTCTAACTTTCTGTCAGGTGGTTACACTGTCGGACCCAAGGCTTTGATTGAGCTTCTGAGACAGCGGTCTCGTCCGTACCTCTTCTCAAACTCCCTCCCTCCTCCTGTGGTGGGCTGTGCCACCCGTGCTGTGGAACTGCTGCTGGCATCCAATGAAATCGCTCAGTCCATGGCAGCTAAAACCATGAGGTTGGACTGGAGTGGGCGCTCTGTGATATTTGTAGATTGGGTTATACCCTTTAGCTTGCGTTACTGCTCTCTTTTTGTGGGAAGTAGATACAGGTGCATCTCTTTATTGAGATGCACCTGTAAGCAGCAGAGTTAAAACAAACAGAGTGTGCTGTTCAAAGTAGCAGTCTGTCTGGGATGACATTGCAGTCAAAACAAAAACAGCTGACTTTTGCTGGTTCAGTATGAAAGTATGAATGCTTTTAACAATAAAGGATTTTTGGAGTTCATTGAGCTAATGATAACAATGGTCTATTGTGCGCCTTTTCTTCTTTCCAAAAGGTTCAGAAACAACATGACCCAGGCAGGGTTCACTATTTCTGGCACAGCTCATCCTATCTGTCCTGTGATGCTGGGAGACGCTCGTCTGGCTTCACTTATGGCTGACGACATGCTAAAACTAGGTAAGAATTCATATATATATATAGTCCATCTAAATTTTTTTCTACAAAACAAATTATGCAAGCCCGGCAGCCTGTTTAAAACAATGGTTTTCTCACTTTGTCATCAGGAGTGTATGTGATCGGTTTCTCCTACCCAGTCGTTCCCAAAGGAAAAGCCCGCATTCGAGTCCAGATCTCTGCAGCTCACACTGACGAGGACATTGATCGTGCCGTAGATGCCTTCATACAGACCGGCAGGAAGCATGGTGTCATTTCCTAATGTCAGCAACACAACTCACAAAGTTGTGGACTATTAGAGTGAGGTTTAAGTTACATATCATAGCAAAAAAAATGCTACTGCGATCAGCGAAGGTCAAAGGATATTTGTATGTTTTCGGTATTGACAGAATAAATGACTTTCTCTATGATTAATAGTTGCTTTTTTACAGCAGTCTTCTACACCAGCTATATACCAAATGTGTCTTGACTTTTTTCAGCTAAGACATGTCACATTAGCATTATTAGCAAGTTTGTACAGATCATGCTCATGCTCATGCTGTCCATAGGTGGGTAAAAATAAAAAGGTTATGCCATTTAATGTCTTCTCGGATTATTTACATGAGGGTAGTTGACTGCTTAAATTTACTACTTTCATAACCTACAAAATACAAGTCCTGAAATATACTCTGTCTCTCGTACATTGTTTTCACAATGGAAAACGATTCATAGCATGTTGGGTTGTCTTCTTCGCAAAACGTTTATCTCACGTAATTGCTGGTGTGCATCATAACCCTATATATATATATATATAACTACAAAAATTGAATTCTGCGAGCAAATGAGTGATGGCACTAGCGAAGTGGGGAATCGTTTTTGAATTGGTTCAATGAACAGATTTGTTCGAAAGAACCGATTCATTTTAACGAATGATTTCCCAACTCCATTTTCCCTAATATAATGAACAATACCTTATTAAACATAGGTAGACATTTTTATATGTTTATATTGTTTTAATGCTTTAGGACACTGTTAATTTGGTTTTTGGTTTCCAGAGATGAACTCAAGAGGCACTATACTTTGGGAGAGTACTGGATTGAGGTGGAGATGGAGGATTTGGCCAGTTTTGATGAAGATCTGTCAGACTGTCTGTACAAACTGCCTACTGAGAACTTGCCTTTGGTAAGGACACACTTGCAAAAATAACTTTCCATATAAATATAGGAAATCTTACTGAAGTTGTGTTGGATCTGTTTACAGCATACAATTAAAAATAATTATTTATGGTTTATTATATTTTATTGTTTTTTATGTTTATTTTAAACTAAGAAATAATTTTTTTTTCACATGTAATGTAATGCTCTTTTTTTCAGATTCATTACAGACTTCTAATTTATTATGAAGTGTTTATCACTTTCCAGCATGCTGTATTATATTTATGAAATGCGTAAGTGCCACTTGAACATCAGCGGTTTGTTAATTTGACATTGATTGATTGACAGTTGGAGGAGGCGGCGCAGGAAGTGGCTGATGAGGTCACACGTCCGCGGCCTGCAGGAGAAGAGACTGTGCAGGACATACAGGTCATGCTGAAGAGCGATGCCCACCCGGCCTCCATCCGTAACCTGAAAGTGAGAAAATAAACTCCTAACAAGACCATTCGAAATTAAAACAGATGCAAAGCGCCATATTTTTTTACTCTACTTCTAACTTTAAGTGTTTTTGTGCCTTAGTGCGCCACGTTCATACTTCTACATTAAGTTTATAAGTGTTTTTTCTGCCTGTCTGTATCATCTTTTGCAGTCGGAGCAGGTGTCACGTCTCGTGAAGATTCCCGGTATTATCATATCCTCTACGGCTGTGAGAGCCAAAGCCACCAAAGTGTGTCTTCAGTGCCGCGGATGCAGAGCAGTTATCAGCAACATCCCTTTGCCACCGGGACTGCAGGGTTACGCTCTGCCCCGCAAGTGCAACACGTTAGTGTTTTGCAAAATACTTGCTTCATTCTGTTTAGAAATACCGTATTGACCCGAATATAAGACAATGTTTTTTTCTTGGAAATACATCTGAAAAAACGCGGTCGTCTTATATTCAGGGTCTAGACTTCGACATGTCAATAATACACCCACAACAATAGGTGGCGCCAAATACGCATAAAACGAGTGTGCCATGAAATACGTAATGTAATGCGTGTTGTAAAGATCGCCGAGTAAAAACAAAAGAAAAAGAAAACCTTACAGCTGCATGAGTCGTGACTGTCACGTTAGCCTGATGGCACCAAACTCCCTTTGTGATTTTAAAACGTAAGACAGTACCCAGATTTGAAGACTACAGTAAGATTTAACTTCTACTCTTAATAAGATTTTGGTAGGCTACTATTAGATGGATAGCCTAAATGTCCTAATTCAGATGGGCTACCTGTTTTTTTTTTATGGTATATCAAAAAGTGTATATTTTTTAAATGTGATAGTTGGTACATTTTACCAGTTTTTACCATACTTTAAAAATAAAAATTTAAATAGGAAAAATATGCAATAGGAAAATAATTGAAGACACAATGTGTTTTACTGAGAAAAAACAAGATTTGGTTTTTAAAAAGCCTTTTTCCAAAAGGTACATCTGGAAAAAGGGAGTTCGTCTTATAATCAGGGTAGTCTTATATTCGGGCCAATACGGTAAATGTCATTCCAAGCTGGTATGTCTCTTCTGTGAACCGCAAAGCAAGTGATTTTGAAGAATGTTAGTTCCCAGACAGTTTCAGTTCAGTATGGTCAAACAATCCAGTGGAAATCAATGGGAACCAAAACTGTTCTGTTCTGCAGAAAGAAAGAAAGAAATGCATGCAGTTTTGGTACGACGAGAGGGTAAATGATGACCCATGTTTTATTTTAGGTGAAATATTCTTTGAAGAACTTGGTGAACTTTAAGATGCATATTTTACCTTTGTGAACCTCAATGAATCATTCATTAAGACAGGGATTTTTTCTGCCACCTAGTGGATGTTTTAGTTACATATTTAAAGTGTCATTTCATTCGGTTAAATTTTTGGTTTTTAATTTATTTTAAACAATTTTATTTATTAATTCAAGTGTAATATTGTATATGCATTTATGCCAGCTGTGGACTGCATTAAATAGTAAATATACCTAAATGCCACTTCTGCTGTAGCTATTTTGCCACCTGTGCATTGCAAAGATGACTTTTGTCGATACTGGTTTAATTTGATTGGTAATGGCCTATAATATCTTGTTTTTCTAATTTAATGTAATGATTAAATTAGATTTTGACACGGTGTACATTGAACACTAATCCAGAAATGAAAGGCACAGAACAAAAACCTGCAGAAATGTTTTTTTTCGTAGCAGTAGTTTTTGTATATTGAATTGAAATTTGATTCTAAATTAAGAATCCCTTTTAAATCAAGTCATGACCCCAATAATCAAATCATGAGATTTCAAGCCCTTAATTTTTTGCCACTTTTCCATTCCCAGGTACTTATGCGACCGTGTAGTACCAGGAAACAGAGTAACTGTCATGGGCATCTACTCCATCAAGAAGGTGGCGCAGACCAAGGCCAAAGGTCGTGATAAGGGAGCAGGTGTGGGCATCCGAGCAGCGTACCTGCGTGTTGTCGGCATTGAAGTGGATACTGAAGGAGCAGGTGAGCATGTGACAAAACTTCTGGTTTTTTTTGGTTGAAAACAGCATCTCTTTAGCCATTCTCATGTCCTTCTCACCGTCTTTCAGGCCGTGGAGCCTCTGGTTCAGTTTCTCCTCAGGAGGAAGAGGAGTTGAGGGCTCTGGCTTCCTCTCCCTCCGTCTATGACTCGCTCGCTCGCTCTCTGGCTCCATCCATCTATGGTAGCGACGACCTGAAGAAAGCCATAGTGTGCCTTCTGTTTGGGGGCTCCAGAAAGAGGTAAACATAGAAAACCGAAACTGCCTCCTCTTCCCAGCTTGTGTGTTTTTGCCATCTTTCTAATCGGCATGGAACTGTTTTCGTTAGGTTGCCAGATGGTTTGACACGCAGGGGTGATATAAACTTGTTGATGTTGGGAGATCCAGGCACAGCCAAGTCACAGTTGCTGAAGTTTGTGGAGAGATGTTCTCCGATTGGGGTAAGACTGTGACAAAGATGCACCATCATATTCTTGCCTTCATGCCATTCGAATGAATTTTTTCATACATGCAACACAAAAAGAGATGTTTTGTAAAATTATAATATGTATATATTAGGGATGCACGATATTGGATTTTTGCCGATATTTTTCAACTCATTTTGGCCGATAGCCGATGACGATACCGATATGTTTTCTTTTGTTTGGAAACAACAAGTCTCTCCTGTGCAGAAATTATAAACAAATTATTTTAAATTTTGGTTAGTTGTTAGAATTAAATAATAATGATGTTCTTTTATAATGATAGTACATTGAAAGCTTTGAAAATAATTATAAATTAACTATATATCAATCACTGCATTTTTTTTTTTCTTCAGAAAGATGCAGTGGTAATATTATATTACAATTTAACATTTGTAGTTGGTCTAAGGCAGAAGAGTTTTAAAAATTCTGAAAATCTTTTATAGCTTCTGACCTATAATTGAATCAAAACACACTCATGATTTTATGACATTGATACTGCTTTATTTATTCAGAAACACAAGTTTCTTAGTGATATGTGTATTTTACTTAGGGCTGTCACGGTTATGAAATTTGGCTGACGATTAATTGTCTAAAAATAGTCACGGTTATTGCGATTAATTGTCTGTTTTAGGGCATTGGCGATTATGCCGATTATCACGATTAATTGTCTGTTTTTATGGCTTTCATTATATAATTGTGACTAATTTAAGGGTTCAGTAAATAATTATGATGTTATCTTTTAATCTTTGAGTTATTATTTTTCAGTGTAAGATTATATAGAGTATTCCAAATTCTAAGAATTGGCCAATACCGATCCAACACCAGCGCTATTTTTTTTCTACACCACTACAGAATATCGATACTGTGTCTGTGGAACTAATGGTCACTCTTTTAAACCCTTTGTTAAACGCAATCCACTAAATACTCACTTCCTCATTACAGAGAAAAACTACATTTGAATAAAAATATATAAGCTATGAAATTAAACTAGCTGACTGTATAATTTAGCAGCAAAAACAATATCTTGAAGAGTTTCTGTAAAACTAAATTCTGTCCCTCACATTAAGATATGGAATGGCTTCAGATGATATAGCAGGGCTCCAGACTGCGACCATTTTTTGTGCCTGTGCGACACAATTTTGTGTGCGGTCGCACTGGCGCGACCACTGCGTTGGTCAACTCCTAAGCGCTGCAATTTCTGTTGCATATGAGAAACATCAAACGGCAAACGAAACTGAAAGCATAACGAAACAGCGCTTAAGAGAGTATACTCGCCGCGTCAGCACGAGCGCGAAGGTGCGCGCAGCA